CGTTGTAAAAAATCAATAAAATATATTTTAAAAAAATCAATGGGAAAAATATCCTTGGATGAGAATTAACAACAAAAAATAAAATAAAATAATCCTAACTGTACCATATACCATTATTATACTTTTTATTAAGCTTTGTTAATGAAATTATATAGATTTTAGATGTTATCTATATATATAAAAGCCTAAGTGACTGGATGACTGGCCGGTAGCTATGACGTGCACTGACACCAGGGGGCAGACGCTCAACTCAGGAGCTGCCCCCTGGTGGTCAGTGAGCTCCCACAGCGGGAGTGCCGCTTAGGTGACCAACAGCCGCCAGATGCCAGGCTCACGGCTGGCTGGCGAGCACAGCTGCAGGGGCGCAAGCCTCTCTCGTGGACACTCTCCCTGCGCGCCCCTCCCTCATCCAGACTGGGACTGTGGAGGCAGGCATAGCTAGGCCAGGATGAGCAGGAGTGGTGCAGCACCTGGCCCGGGGTTGGGGTACTCCCTGGCTGCCTGCCGCTTTGCGCACTACTACATCCCTCAGGGGATGTAGTACTGCTGGTTTCAGCTGATCCCTGCAGGCCAGGCTGAGGGGCCTCTAGTAGTTCTATAATACATGATCTGTATATTGTATTATGTGTTTACCCCCAATGTTCTTTGGGTTTCTTAATTTCAAATCTCCTGATTGTTGATGTCCTTAAAAGTCATGGTAATCTTGGATGGGATTCCATGCTTTAGAAACAGATTTTTGTTTTCTCCCAAATGATTCCTATTGGCCAGACCTCCTTCTTTGTTTCTTTTTTGCAATGCATGGTAAACATTAGAAAGATGGTTCAATAGTTCTAATACTTTTTCAGTAATCTCATTTCACTTGGGTACCATTTGGCATAAGAAGACTGATAAATATATCTGACAGAGTCACAAGAACTAAAGGATATAAGGGGAAGTACTGTGCTTTAAAAATGCCTCTTTAGGTTTCTTTTGATCAGACCTAATATTCTGTATTGACTGGGTGAGTAGAAGCCAAATCTCTTGGAACCTAAGTTCTTTTCAGGAAAGTATAAAATATCTAGCAGTTTGAATTTTTGTTCATGTGACTCTTCCACTTGAAAAGTGCTGTGAAATTATATACTTCCTTTTTATTTGTCCAAAGCTCCTTTACTTAATTTATTGTCCATATTGATATTACTTCTTTGCTTATTATTATTTTTTAACTAGAGTCCCGGTGCACGAATTCATGCATCAGTGGGGTCCCTCGGCCTGGCCTCTGGGATCAGGCTGAAACCGGCTCTTCGACATCCCCTGAGGGGGTCCTGGATTGTGAGAGGGCGCAGGCCAGGCCGAGGGACCCCACTGGTGCACGATTAGGGCTGATCAGGGCTAGGAAGGGACACAGAAGGTTCGCCAGCTGGGGAGAGACTGCGGGAGGCGCCCATCTCACTCATTCTTGATCGGCCGGATCCCAGCAGCAAGCTAACCTACCAGTTGGAGTGTCTGCCCCTTGGTGGTCAGTGCACATCATAGCAACTGGTCAACTGGTTGACTGTCTGCCCGCTGGTGGTAGGTGCACATCATAGCAACTGGTCGAATGGTTGACTGTCTGCCCCTTGGTGGTCAGTGCACATCATAGCAACTGGTCGACTGGTTGACTGTCTGCCCCCTGGTAGTCAGTGCATGTCATAGCAAGCCGTTGAGTGGCCTTAGCACATCATTACCATATTACACTTTGATTGGTTGAGTGGATGACCAGACACTTAGCATATTAGGCATCCTATATAATAAAAGCCTAGGTGGCATCGTGCAACACCCTTGTGTGACATCGTCACAAGATGGTTGCCACAAGATGGCTGCCCTTACATCGGAGGCTGTGATGCCCCACTTCCTGCAGCCACTGTGCTCACCGCATGGGGAGAACACTCCTGGGGGAGATCAGGCCAGCAGGGGAGGGCAGTTAGGGGCGATTTGGCTGGAAGGGGAAGGGCAGTTGGCGTGATCAGGCCAGCAGGGGAGCAGTTAGGCGTCAGTCAGGCCGGCAGGAGAGCAGTTAGGGGGCGATCAGGCTGGCAGGCAGGTGAGCGGTTAGTAGCCAGCAGTCCCGTATCGTGAGAGGGATGTCTGACTGCCAGTTTAGGGTGGGATTGGGCCTAAACCGGCAGTCAGACATCCCCCAAGGGGTCCCAGATTAAAGAGGGTACAGGCTGGACTGAGGGACAATCCCCGCCCTGTGCACGAATTTTGTGCACCAGGCCTCTAGTTTATTATATAGGATTTTCACTGGAGCATTTGTTTCTATTGATTTTAGAGAGAGAAAGGGGTTGAGAGAGAAACATCAATGTGATAGAGAAACATTGAATGGTTGGCTGCTTCCCGTAGGTGCTGACCAGGAATTGAAAACAAAACTTAGGTATGTGCCCCGGATCTGCAACTTTTGGTATATGGGATGACACTCCAACTGACTGAGCCACGCGGCCAGGGCTCTTTGCTTGATTATTGATATCTTCTAGCATGTAGAGTCCACACTTGTCTTTTTTAAAACATATTTTTATTTCAGAGAGGAAGGGAGAGGAAGAGAGAGATAGAAATATCAATGATGAGAGAGGATCATTGATTCGCTGCCTCCTGCATGCCCCCTACTGGGGATCGAGTCCGAAACCTGGGTATGTCCCCTTGACCATAATCATACCTGGGACCCTTTAGTCTGCTAACACTCTATCCACTGAGCCAAACTGGTTAGGGTTGTTACCTTTCACTTTCTATTCAGAGTAAGAAGAAAACATTTTCTTTGCAAGGCAGATTTTCTTTAGAAAATCCAGTATTTTTCTTGGTTTTCCTAGGGTTCTAGGTTTCTTTGTTTTTTTCTTTTTCTAGGATTCTAGTTTTTAATATAGGGATCTGAAGGCAAAAAGCTAAATATTAAAATAACAGGGCTTTGAGTATGAGATGGAAGATAGTTATGACTTTTTCTAAAATTTACTGAGCTTATCGCTAATGGACTGTTTTTAGGTAACATCACACAGATTGCCATCTCAGAAGAGAGCATGGAAGAAGCAGGGTTAGAATGGAACTCAGCTCTCACTGCTGCTGTCACCATGGCCACAGAAGAGGGAGTGAAGAAAGACTCAGAGGAAATTTCAGGTAATTTCCTATGGGCTCAGATATTTTACAGTTTTGTGACCTTATCAAAATTATAATTAGGGACACAGAAGTCCTTTTAATTACTTTTGCCGGTTTGTCTCATGCATATTAATATTAATTATAGCTGCAAACCTCTTACTTTAATCAGTGCAACATCCCGCAGTCACATTTTACACATGAAGAAATTGAGATTCAGAAAGGTTCAGCAACTTGCCTAATATCAGTAACACAACCAATAAGTATCAGAGCTGAGTTCAGCTGAGTTTGACTGTAGTCCATGCTTTTCATCCTGTCAAATTACTTCCAACTTTGGTATACTTCTTAGATAAACCAAGCTGCAAGATGTTAGAAGAAAAAATTAGGTAGCAGATGGTTTAGAAGATGGTGATTAATAATGATTCACTTAGAGGGGATCAGGAGAGGCTTCACATCCTCCTCCGTTTATTTATTCATTTAACAAATATTTATTGCTGCTTACTTTTATTTATTTATAAATATTTTTATTGATTTCAGAGAGGAAGGGAGAGGGAGATAGAGATAGAAACATCAGTGATAAGAATCATTGATGGGCTGCCTCCTGCATGCCCCCTACTGGGGACCGAACCTGCACCCTGTGCATGTGCTCTTGACTGGAATTGAACCTGGGACCCTCCAGTCCGCAGGCTGATGCTCTATCCACTGAGCCAAACTGGCTAGGGTGCTGCTTATTTTTAGTTAGTACTGTTGCTAGATGCCAGACAGGTGAATGAAAAGACATAGCCTTTGACTTCAGGGAGTTTATAATACCACCTATTCAATTGTTTTACTTTGTTTTTTGAAGTATATGATTAGAGCGAATATACCTTTATTTTAGTATACCTTTAATATCTTTATTATTTAACTTTAAAATTTTAAATATTTAATTTTAAATTAAATTATTTAAATAAATAATATTTAATATGTTATATTTATTAGAGGAACATACCTATTCCTTTTAGCCAGAGCAATGACAAATTGAGGGCATGACAAAATGAGGCAATTATCCCAAGTCCCTAGTTTGCTAAAGAGGCCAAATAATTAGTTACCAACTTAGGGAGACAGCTAATACTCCAGAAGATTTTTCCCTTTTCCCAGAAGTGGCCCAAAAAGGAATCCTTTTGAATTGAAATAATTTTGAATTTAATACACTGTAGAAATGTGCCTAAGTATATGTAGCATCCCTTGTTTACCATCTTTCTTATTCCTCTTGTACCAGAGGACACTTTGATGTTCTGGAAAGGAATAGCTGATGTAGGGCTGATGGAAGAGGTTGTATGCAACATACAGAAGGAAATAGAGGAGCTACTCAGGGGAGATCAGCAGCGGCTCATTCAAGCGCCCTTCCAGGTCACAGGTAAGTGTGTTAATTCTAACAATATCTAGTTATCCTGTTGGCCTCATGAAAACACTGATGTATAGGTATCCCAATTTTACACACTAGGTAACTAAGGCTCATAGAAGTTACTTCTCTAAAGATCATAACTGGGTGTGTGTGTGTGTGTGTGTGTGTGTGTGTGTTAATCCTCACCTGAGGATATTTTTTCCATTGATTTTTTTTTTGAGAGTGTGGAAGGGGGGAAGTTAGGGAGGGGGAGGGAGAGAGAGAGAGAGAGAGAGAGAAAGAAACACTGATGTGGAGAAATACATCGATTGATTACCTCCCATACGCAGCCCAACCAGGGCCAGGTATCGAACCCACAACCCAGGCATGTGTCCTCGACTAGGAATCAAACCCATAACACTTTGGTGCATGGGCTAATGCTCTAACCACTGAGAACACTGGCCAGGGTCATAACTGGTGTGTTTTTTTTTAAATCCTCACTCGAGGTATTTTTCCCATTGATTTTTAGAAAGAATAGAAGGGAGGGAGGAGGCGGGGGAGAGAGAGAGAAACATCAACGTGAGAGAGATACATTGATTGGTTGCCTCCTGCAAGAGCCCCTCCTGTGGCTGGGGAACCTGCAACTGAAATAAGTGACCTTGACCGGATATAGAACCCAAGACCCTTTGGTGCATGGGCTGACACTCTAACCACTGAAAAACCCAGCCAGGGCTTTAGCTGGGTTTTGAACTCAGGTCTAGCCATGCTTTTTCCACAGGTAATTACCTGATAATTGCCATTATCAGCGTGCCAAAAAGTTCTCTCAATTCTCTCTTATTTATATTAATATAGATATTAATTATAGATATGTCAATAGTATATTAATATAGATATAACAATTAAATCTAAATTAGTTATACATGTGATACATCTTTGTTAAAATTGTTTATTAGACTAGTCCCGTCATTTTTGGATTGTTCCATATTTGTAAACAGCACAAGAGGGAGTTGGTGGAAAACCTTTCTGTTTTAAGTGGACAGACATGTCTTTCCTTCTAAATAGATGCTGCTGTTCTCAATAATGTGGCACACACATTTGGCCTAATGGACACAGTTAAGAAGGTTTTGGACAACAGAAGGAACCAAATAGAGCAAGGAGAAGAGCAGTTTCTCTATACTCTGACAGGTATGTGTAATTTATCTCTCTTCTTAGGTGATAAACTACTATCCTTTGAGTCTTGCCATTTCTTTCTTTTTAAAAAAATATATTTTTTATTGATTTCAGAGAGGAAGGGACAAGAGAGATAGAAACATCAATGATGAGACAGTATCATTGATCGGCTGCCTCCTGCACACCCCACACTAGGGATTGAGCCTGCAATCTGAGCACGTGCCCTGACCGGGAATCAAACCGTCATAGGTTGACGCTCAACCACTGAGCCACGCCTGCCAGGCAACTCTTGACATTTCTTTGTTGACATTTGTTGGGACTGGCGTGGTTCTTTCTTTGCTTCTTTTTAAAATATATATATTTTCTTTGCTTCTTTTTAATATTTTTATTGATTTCGGAGAGAAGAAGGGAGAAGGAGAGAGAGATAGAAACATCAATGATGAAAATCATTGATCAACTCTTCCTGTACACCCCCTACTGGGGATTGAGCCTGAAACCTGGGCATGTGCCCTAATCAGGAATTGAACTGTGACTTTCTGGTTCAAAGGTCAGTGCTCAACCACTGAGCCACATTGGCCAGGCCTTTCTTTGCTTCTTTTTCCTACCCCCACCCCCAACTCCCTCTTTTTTTTTTTTATTTCTTTTAACTCACATAGTATCATGTTTGACTTTTGCTGTATATATGGACCAAGGTGGGGTGAAGTAGTGGGAAGCAGAGAAGGCACAAAGGAAAAGAGAAAGAAGCCAGCATCACAGTACTCCTTCTATATCATTTGGAGAATTAGGATATCTGCAAGAATGCTCCATCAATCCAGTAATATTGGTGGCAGAAGAAACTGGCTTTTGTCTTTTTTACATTATTATTACTGAATCTTTTGACAGATACAGATTTAGCCTATTTTCCATTATTTGTGGTAATAAATGATGAGCACATGGATATTTTAACTTTTTATTAAGTACTTACCTTGTGCTGGTCTTCAAACTAGGTTTTAGAAATATAATGTTGAATATTGAGAGCCTTCAAGGAACTCGAGGGAAAGCAGACATAAAAATAAGTGCAAAAAGTAATCTGTTTTATGACAGTGGCTTCTAGCAGGTATGATGGAAGAACAAAGGGAGTTATCACTTATACCTGGAAGGAATCAAGAGAGGCTTTTGAAGGAGGTAAAGCAGGTGAAGGATATAAAATAAGTCAAGGAGGATCATCAGCCTTTGAATGATGTAGAACAAATTATAGTCAATTATAAAGCCCAAAGACTCTTGAAAGATCATTTGATAAGAGAAGAACAATTTAGGTTGCTCTAAAGTTATTTTTATACCCAGTTTATGTAGATAGATAGATAGATAGAGAGAGATATATATATTTTTAAAATATATGTTTATGGCCAAAACCGGTTTGGTTCGGTGGATAGAGCGTCGGCCTGCGGACTGAAAGGTCCCAGGTTCGATTCCGGTTAAGGGCATGTACCTTGGTTGCAGGCACATCCCCAGTAGGAGGTGTGCAGGATGCAGCTGGTCGATGTTTCTCTCTCATCGGTGTTTCTAACTATCTCTATCCCTTCCTCTCTGTTAAAAAATCAATAAAATATATTTAAAAAATAAAATATATGTTTATGGATTTCAGAGAGGACAAAAGAGGAAAAGATAGAAACATCAATGATGAGAGAGAATCATTGATTGGCTGCCTCCTGCACACCACTACTGGGGAAGGAGCCCACAACCTGGACATGTGCCCCGACCAGGAATTGAACTGGGACCTCCAAGTTCATAGATCGATGCTCAACCACTGAACCACACCGGCCAGGCCTATAACTTCTATTTTTGAGGTTTTTTTTCAACTACTTCCCAGGATTAAGCTTGAGGTTATAGTATTGATATTATTTTTATGGATTTCTGTGAATTATTGTCAAATTTCCAAGAAGATTATGCCAATTTATGCCAGCAGTTTGAACTCCCCAACATTGGACATTGTTATTATAGTAATCCCTGATTTAGCTTTTTAAAAATTACAGATTTTATTTTTATCTTGTTTAGGTTCACATTTTTTTGATTACTACTGAAAATGGAAAAAATGTAGTATATCGTGACTTTAAAAAGCCGTATTTTAAAATCTGTGAACATGTCCTTGATCCCTACCTACTCCTTTTATTCCAAGCAAGTAATTAACTAGCTCTTGGTGTTCCATAGGAAACAAAGTGCTCTAAAGGTGTAACTGATTATTTATTGCTTGTTTATCAGGTACTAAGTAATAATACAGACGTTCTGGTGTAGAACCAGATTCACTAGTGGTCACAAGGTTGAATTGGACACCTGGAAAGAGGTAGTGATAGGTATATTGTGATGGAAAAGCCACCAAGTTGGCCATCAGAGACTTTTGTCCCAGGCTCTGTGACCTTAAGTCAGTCATTTTGGAACTTCAAGACCTCCTCAGTTCTGTATTTCTTAGAAACTTCCTCTGTAACTTTCTCCAGACTTCTCTGGGGGCTAATAGTAGATTAAGGCCATTTGGTTCACCAGGTGATCCTGCTTTGAAGCACAGTTTGGGAATCACTGTGTTCTAGAGTGGCCATTGTAGATCCATTGCAGTTCCAAAGGGATTGTAAAGATATTTCTTATCTTCATCTGTAGTTTGAGGCAGGGCATATCTTAGCTGCTAGACCAACTGGAGGTTGCTTTGGTTTGCATTTCGGTGACAGGTGACAAAATGCCACAGGAGCTTCTAGAGTTGAGCTATAGTAGGATCACAGCTAGAAAAGATCCTGGATTATTGCCCTGCCTATAATCATACAAGGAAATGTTGTTACTGAAGAGATTAACAAGTCATCCAGTTTAGTTTCTTCTTAAAAACAATGAAGCAAAAAATAATAATAATTAAAAAATAATAAAAACAATGAAGTGACTTTCTTGAGGCTACAGAGTGGCAAAACCCCAGGTCCCCTCACTCCCATTTTACTGTTCCCAAGATTATACTTCCATCCACACAAAGTCTATCTTTTTTTCCATAGACTTGGAACGCCAGTTGGAAGAGCAGAAGAAACAAGCTCAGGATCAGAGGCTGAAATCCCAGACAGTTCAAAATGTGGTATTGATGCCTGTGAGCACTCCTAAGCCTCCAAAAAGGCCTCGACTCCAGCGGCCAGCCTCCACCACCGTCCTGAGCTCATCTCCTCCTGTCCAGCAGCCTCAGTTCACAGTCATCTCACCCATCACGATCACCCCAGTGGGTCAGTCATTTTCCATGGGCAATCTTCCAGTGGCCACCCTCAGCCAGGGCTCCAGTCCTGTGACTGTCCACACACTGCCTTCTGGCCCTCAGCTCTTCCGCTATGCCACAGTGGTCTCCTCTGCCAAGAGCAGCTCACCAGACACAGTGACCATCCACCCTTCTTCTAGCTTGGCGCTGCTAAGCTCTACTGCCATGCAGGATGGGAATACCCTGGGCAACATGACCACTATGGTGAGCCCTGTGGAGTTGGTGGCCATGGAGTCTGGCCTGACCTCAGCAATCCAGGCTGTTGAAAGCACCTCAGAGGATGGGCAGACCATCATTGAGATTGACCCAGCCCCAGACCCAGAGGCTGAGGATACTGAGGGCAAAGCAGTCATTTTGGAGACAGAGCTTAGGACTGAGGAGAAAGTTGTGGCTGAGATGGAAGAACATCAGCATCAAGTCCACAATGTGGAGATTGTGGTCTTAGAGGATTAACTGGGGATTTGGGGCCAGGAAATATGTTTTGGTTTGAAATTTTAAATATTTGTTTACTGTTATCATTGTCCCACTCATTTCCATGTAGGATCCTTTTTTTAAAAAGAAAAACAAATCTCATTGATGTAACTGAATACGTTGGGTCCCTCCCACCCCCTCATTGAAAAAATGGACAAAACAAGCTGTCCTTCCAGAAGTTGAGAGTAGGTCACTCAATGTCCTCATCCTCTTGCACCAAGAAAGTTATTTCTTTTAGGAGAGGCATCAAGATAACCAGAAACCTATTCCAAAAGCCCTTTCCAGGCTAATCTATCTGTGTACGCATGTGGTTTTATTTTCTTAAAGATGCATTGACCAAACTGTAGAACACAGACCTGATAATGGAAGGCAACCCACTCACACATGGATGCAGAAGGAAATTTATTTTGTATCCTGGAATGGGCCCTTCGAGGCCAGTGCAAAACTCTGAAAGGAAGTTGAACTCTGCTGGAGGGGGAACTCTGTTGCTTGGAGCAGCAGTTTAAAAAGGGAAGTGCTTTGCCAGGATGGGGCAAAGAAATTACCTTATTTCCAGAAGTGCAACTGATGCCTCTTGGTACCTCTGAGGGTTACCACTATAGGTGCCATTTTGAGGAGAGGCCAGTGGTAAGTGGAAGGTACATTGGCATGGAGCAAGTAGCATCAGGAGAACTAGAAATCCAGGGATGTCACAGCTGCGCTTTGGGACTCAACCCCACCTTGCCCCCAACTTTGTCAAAGCACTTACCTTTCTAAACTAGGATCAGTCCATTACTCCGTGAACTGTGTGATATGGTGTAAATTGCTCTGGTTCTTGGACTGTGGCTGTTGTGGGGTGAGGCTCCAAGCCCATCATTTTATTGCATGACTCCAGGAGCAGAGGAATTCTTCATCCAGACCAGCTGCCCTTTTTGGTGGGGCCCTCTTTTGGCTTTGGAACCAAAAGCAGCCACTCATTTGGTGCTTCCTCTTGTTCTACCCTCTATCCCTTAACTGTTAATGGCATCTGTCTCCTGGATCCCATGCTCTTCAGCTTTTTAGCTGATTTGGAGAACAGTGACAGGTGCCTGCCTTCATCCCCTTCTAGAGTCATTTATACCACAGATCTTTCTGTGAGACTGAGCTCGTAAAAAAAGCCTTAGGCTTGGCAGGAAGACTCAACACCCCTAGCCTATCCTGAGGCACCGAATGGATGTCTCCTACTGAGCAAGCTGGACTCCCTGGGAAAGAAGCATTGTCTGCAACATTATGTTATAGGAAATGTACCAGAAATGTCAATAATAATGTCTTTGGGGGGTGTGTGTCTTGTTTTCTTTCTTTTTTAATGTTTTTTGTATATTTAGAGCTGGGCCATTTTCTGTGCTTTGATTACTTCTCTTTGGCCATCTTCAGTGTTTGGGGTAAGAGTGGACCCTGGTTTTTATTTCTTTTGGTTGCATTGTTTACTGCATTAGGAAAAATATAGGGAAACTGCAGACAGTATAAAGGAAAAATAGGTCAAAAAAGCACACACCTAAGGAGTGGGAGGGTTTTTGTTTTTGTTTTTAATTAAAACTTAGACCTGTAGTTACTTTTTTTTTTTAAGAAGGCACCCACTTGAAGCCATGTTTCTTCCAGCAGATGTTGGAAACCCTGTTGTCAAGCAAGTGGAAACAGTTCTGCTACCCCTCAGAAGGATGTATATAGCTGGAGAAGCCCTTTAACTTAGGAAGGTCAGTCATAAAAGCCTTAAGGGTGAGATTTCTGAACCCCATACAGTTGTAGTTTTCAACTTTAAAATTGTCTTGGGGTTGTATTTTTCTTTTCAAAATATTTAATAGATGTAGCAGTCAGCTTAGAATAGACCTTTGGCCCTTTATATATCTTTAGTGAGGAAAGTGGCTTTTTTTTTCTTGCTTCTTTAGGTTTTCTGTTAGTACATAAACAAAACCAGTATTTCTGTCTAAGAGTAAAACTGCTACTTGAACCTAGAAAGGAATATCATCCCTATTGTGGTTTTTAGGGACATTTTTCTCTTTCCCAGAGACAGGAGTCCCATTTCAGGACAGAGGAGCAGCCCTGGAGAACACTTATACACTAGTTCAGGTTCCTTTCTTCCCTCCATCAGAGCTTTTGGTAGTGTTTTAAAGTAGTGTGAACATTATGCTTCCAAAGTCAAGAGATTTCCTGCTAACAGAGCCTGTTTACTTTTACTTTCTGTATATTCCAGCTAGTGGAAATACATGAGCTTTGTTGTTTTCTGGTCTTCCAATAGCTTGTCATTATTGCTAGATGCTATAACACCCATTGTTGAGTGGGAGTTCCCTCACAGCCCTGGTGTAAATGATCTTATATGGGGTGAGACATATTCAAGCCATTGGTCTGTGCACAGGCATTTTCAATGAATCATTCCTCAGGTTGACTTTGCAGTAGCCATCTATCTTTCTGTTCATTCATTCAATAAACATTTATAAGTATGATTTATGTGCCAGGCTTTGTGCTAGGCACTGGCAGTACAGAGGTGGAAACACAGTCAGTCTGTACACTCAAGGAATTCATACTCCAGATATTGTCTGGAATTATACTTCAATATAATTGTTTCCTTTGTAATCCTATGTATTTTATTTCATGCATTGAAAAGCATTATTACGAGGATTGATCCGTAGGTTTCAGCAGACCACCAAAGGCAGAAAGAGGTTAAGTTCTCTAGTGAGATGAAGGGAGAGTGAGAAAGATATAGAAACATCAATGATGAGAAGAAATATTAATGATGAGAGAGAATCATTGATTGACTGCCTCCTGCATGCCCTCTGCTGAGCCCACATGTGCCCTGACTGGGAATCTAACTGATCTCCTGGTACACAGGTTGAAGCTCAACCACTGATCTTATTGGAGTAAGTACAGTGATAAAGTTCTTGGCTGGGAGCTGAGAAAACAAAGGATCAAGTACCTAACCCAGTTGGGGAGCAGGGGTCAGCAAATATGAGATACTTTTCTGTTGGTGTGACCCTAAGCTGATTTAGGAGAGACCATTTTCAGCCACTTGTGTTCTTTTTGTACTCCATTTTCAAGTAGTTGGGTTTATTTATACAAGAGAAAAACAACCCTTAGTCTCTTGCTGCTTTTGCCTCCAGAGCCACGCTAAGTCAACAGCATGGGATGTTTCTCCCAAGAGTACCCTACTGGAGAAAACCAAGTCATGTGTCAGCTTCTCCAAGTTTCCATCAGATGAATCCAGTGCAAGACTGGAATTTAGCTGGTGGAAGGTAAATGCCCAAACCTTCCTGTCATGTGGTTTCTACAAAGGCCTCAGAGTCAACTGTACAAATGTCTCACCTTGGCCGTGTCCCTATTTGGCCCCCACTTTATTCTCTGTTTCAGGCTCCTTCCCTGTCTCCCACTCCCACAAAACAAAAACCAATCCCAGTTATTTTGAAATAAAAATGGACAATAGACTTGAGTATTCAGGATTCAAAGTCACTTCACTGAAGTTTCTTTTACATGTCTGTCCACATTAGGGAAGGAGAACCAATGTTAATCCAAATACCTTGGAAATTAATATTCAGGTTAGGTGGATGATGCTCTTTAGAGATGTCATTTTATCTCATTTTCGTAAAACTCACTAAAGGTAAGTTTGTATTGTAGGAAATATAGATATTGGTAACATCTATATATATAAAGAGCCAGGGGCTGTCACATCCGAAATGAGCGAACAGGCTGAGTGAGGCAACAAGGTCAGCAGGGGGATTAGTGAGGGACGACCAAACAACTGAGCAGCAGGCTGTGTGGGGCGTCCAGGCCAGTGGGGGGCAGTGAGGAGTGACCAGGCCAGCAGTGAGGGGCAACCAGGCCGACGGGGGTTAGGGGGGTTAGTTGGGGGCAACCAGGCTGGCAGGGGGGCAGTAAGGGGCGACCATGCTGGCAGGGGAGAGGGGGCAGTTAGGGGCAACCAGGCCAGTGGGGAGGATGCAGTTGGGGATGACCAGGTTGGCGGGGAGGGCAGTTGGGGCAATCAGGTCAGCAGGCAGAGGCAGTTAGGGATAACCAGGCAGGCAGGCAGGTGAGCAGTTAGGAGCCAGCAGACCTGGATTGTGAGAGGGATGTTTGACTGCCGGTTTAGGCCCAATCCCCAGGATCGGCCTAAACCGGCAGTCAGACATCCCCCGAGGGGTCCCTGATTGAAGAAGGTGTAGGCTGGGCTGAGGGGAACCCCTCCTCCCCCCATGCATGAATTTCGTGCACCGGGCCCCTAGTTTTATTATAAAAATAGTACTAGTAAAATCAAGTATGAAATATGGGATTACTAGTTCATTGAGTTATAATGGGTCCAGGTCAAGAAGGTGGGAAGGATAAAGAAAAGATGGCATTCTAAAAATATGCATGAGTTTGGGACTCACTTTGGGCAATACTCCTGAGGAAGTAGTCCTTTCTGAGAAAAAAATTCGGATACTAGACTAGTCCCTGCATTTTCAGATAACTTATCTAGTACAGTTCCCTCACACTTAGGATACCTCCTCCCTGCGAAATTCTTGTGTAGTCTGTAATGTAATACAGTAATCACTGAGGTGGTTGCACTAGGCAAGGGACTTCATGGGATCAGTTCTGCTAGATTTGGACTTTGCCCCTGGGATTTGTCTTCTAAGCTCTAGTTGAGTCCTTTCCAGGTTTCCTTCCCAATTCTGGAACACCTTTTTCCTGAGCTATGCAATTTGACTTCTGGAAGATTCTACTTTCCTCTAACTTCCTTATCCATACTATTTCCCAAACCAAATTGCATTTGGTTCCCAAATTCTGCCGTGTTAGTAACTTTCAACTGGAGAAAATTATTTCTCAAGGCACCCCCAGGACCCAAACCTCAGCATACATCCAAAGACTGCTGTTTCACTACCTAAAACAGCCTTCCTCACTCTAGTGAATTGAAATACGTTGGGAAGTGCTAATGTACTGACTAGCTAAGTTCCCCAACACACACAGACTCTAAGACCTATCTTTTATATATGCTTGGTTTTCTCCCTATGGTCAGTGACTCAGGCTAAGACATGCCTATTTCCTGGATAACTCTTTAAGCAAAGTATGATTCCTATTACCTCTTCACAACTACCAGAAATTTCTACTCTTATGAGCCTCTCAGCCTAAAGACATCGGGTGCCCTTTCAACCTAAAGTAGACCAGACCCTACTTTGAAATTGACTCTGGGTTCTCCCGCATGTGTGGTTTCCAATTCTCTATCTTTACTGGTAGTTATGGCGTGTGTGTGTGTGTGTGTATGTGCATTTTTCTCTTAGTTTGAGGATGAACAATAGTATTGGATCACATACAGTATAAGGGTAAGTGTGAGGCTGGGTAATGACCCAGAAGATAAAGTTCCTCATTGGGCTTTGTAGGAGCCTCTCTAAGGAAATCATACACAGAAGGGTTTACCTCAGTGGTTTTCAACCTTGACTGCACGTTAGAATCACCTGGGAATCTTTTTAAAATCCTGATTTCTGGGCCTCATCCTCCAGAAATTCTGTTTCTTTGTTATTTCCGGAGGATGAGGCTCAGAAATCAGGATTTTAAAAAGATTCCCAGGTAATTCTAATGTGCAGCCAAGGTTGAGAATCATTGGTTTACCTGCATTTCAAAATATAAGTTTTTTGGGGGGGAGGGGGGTCTGGGGGGGTAATTTCTTTCATGTTTTCTCTAAAGAAATCATGTATTACAGAGCAAACTAGAATTCCACAGTCCTGATTCAGCCTGAAGACATACTTTGGCCCATGTTTTTGTTTGTCTTAACTTTTTATTGAAGTATAAGTGCAAACAGGAAAGTCACAATTCACTGCACAATTTGAAAAACTTAACAGACTGAACACACCCATAAAATCAGTTTCCAGATCAAGAAAAAAAAATTTACCAGCACCTCACCCAGCCAGGGTAACCACTACACCATAGCTCTAACACCCATAGCTTTTTACCTGTTTTTGAACTCTTGTGACTGGCTTTTTTCCCCACTCAACATTATATTGTGAGATTCACCCATAATGTGTAAAAACTGTAGTTGGTTCCTCCTCATTGCCGTGTAGAAACTGTTACTATGCCATAGCTGATCCATTCTAATCATGGGCACTTGGGTAGTTTCCAGTTAGGGGCTGCTATAAATAATGCCTCTGAACATTCTTGCATGTCTCTTGATAAACATTTTTAAAAAACATATTTTATTGATTTTTTACAGAGAGGAAGGGAGAGGGATAGAGAGTTAGAAACATCGATGAGAGAGAAACATCAATCAGCTGCCTCCTGCACACCCCCTACTGGGGATGTGCCCACAACCAAGGTACATGCCCTTGACCAGAATCGAACCCGGGACCCTTCAGTCGGCAGGCCGACGCTCTATCCACTGAGCCAAACCTGTTAGGGCTTGATGAACATTTATATATGCATTTATGCCTATACAGTTTCAAAAGTTAAGGCAATTCACATGAAAAAATACAAGGTACAGTTTTAAAAAAATAGAAGATCTGATAACACTGGTTCACATTTCCTCATAGCAACACTTGACTGGAACTGAGGCCTATCTTAGGTGGGGCATAGCTTCTTTACAGATCCTGTCCCTTAGTATTAGGTATTACAAACCTAGACCTACTTATTTTGGTAGCTTTATTATTTTTTTATTTAATAATCTGTTAGTACACTCTTCCCTAGATAACTACAAAGCTTTTTTTCTCATTTCAAGTCTGTTCATGTTACCTTATCAGAGAGGACTTCCCTGACAATCCACACTATAAAAAATGGCAACCTTTCTCCACACTATACTTCCTATTTGCCTTTATCCTGCTTTATTTCTCCATTTTACTTATCACCTGACATACATTTATTTTTTTTCTCTCCCAACTAGAATGGAAGTTCTATGAGAGCAGAGACCTTTCTTATCTCTTAGTCACTACTATTTCTACACCCTCTGGAACAGTGCCTGGCATGTAGTAGAGCTTGATAGATACTTGATGCAATCTATATACATAAAAGCCTAATATGCTAAGTGTCTGATCATTCAACCAGTTGCTATGACACGCACTGACCACCAGGGGGCAGATGCTCCATCAGGTAGTTTAGCTTGCTGCTGGGGTCTGGCTGATGGGGACTAGGTGAGATGGGCCAGACATGCCCTGGAGCCCTCCCTGGCCCGATCGTGCACCAGTGGGGTCCCTTGGCCTGGCCTGAGCCCTCTCGCAATCTGGGACCCCTTGGGGGATGTCAGAGAGCTTGTTTCAGGCTGAGGGACTCCACTGGTGCACAAATCTGTGCACTGGGCCTCTAGTAGTAATAGTAACAACCAGTACTTATTGAAGGGAAACTATGTACCAAGCAAGCATTGTTCTAAGCACTTTATATATGTTAAACCATTTGATCCTCACAACAGTGCTATGTGGTAGATAGCATTATTTACTTCATTTTACATTGAGTAAACTAACATTTATCTTCTACTCTAAACAACATACATTTT